ATTTCATCTCTTGTCTCTAAGTGTTTGTGTCTGGAAACAGACGAGAAACCTCGGGTTGACAAGTTGGTTCCCAGAGGAAAAGATCCGTCAACGTTAAACTACGTTTCCTTCAAAGTCGGCGTCAACCAAAACAAACGGGATGTTGCCCTTTCCTGTGATTCGTGGCCGGAGGGCATTCAGTTCCGTGATTTCGATGATTCCCGGTCAAAGAAGGTGCCCACATCACCCGTATTGGTCCAGCACAGTGACACCAGTTCCAGGATACTTCCTTTTCGATGACTAACGTGTTGTTGGGCGGATCTGGGACGCAACAACACAGTGCTTCGGAAGCCTCTGATCCCTCCGAACCAGTCGAGCTGTTTGTAGATCTAATCATCAAAAGTCGTCCTGGCCCTGGTTTTTTAATCGGTGATGAGGTCTTCCAGCCTGTACTTACAGGCAAGTATCGATACATTCCAAAACCTTCTTTTTCTGAGCCACCTTCCGCTTCCAGCAGCGAATACTTAACGCAACCATCCGATCCAACCTTGCCTTCTGAAAACGACGTAGTAAGCTCGATGTCTTCTGAACTCTGGGTGAACCAATCTGCTTTCCAACCGGGACGCATCGTGGAAAGCTTTATGGATTCCTGTCAGCGTTCATCATAGTCGTCCTGGCCCTGAGGTTAGATGTGGATTGGGGGTCTTCCAACTTGCTAGAACAGGCGAGTACATAATTAATAGCGCAAATACGATGTCTGATGCCGACCCAAATTTCAGCACCTTGAATGCCGCCGAATCAACTCTCGTACCTCGGAGCCCGCCCGGAACATTGCGACAAGGTCCGTTACTTAGGACCTAATGCAATGTTCAGCTTGAATTGTCTTTGTGATGTGCATTATGAAAATAGCAAGCATGCTAATTGACTCGCAAGAAAAAAAATAACAAAAGGTAGATTTTAGTGATAAAATATCAAATTTTGTTTTTAATTATATTTTTTTAGAAATATCAAAAAAATATCAAAATATAAACTCAACTGAAATTAAAAAATAGTATATCAAAATATGTTAGCAATATAATTTCAAAAACATAATCATTTTGATATTATTTTGATATCCGACTTTGCTCGGGTAGGCCGCATGGTCACTAGCCCAGATTTAAATAAATTTTGACGAGTTTCCTGACACAGTTATGTTTTTAAGATTCTTAACACTTAGATATTTGTTTTGCACATGTGAACGTTCCAAAATCTTGGAAATTTTTCCAATTCCGGAGTATTTAAAATAAAACTACCTTAGTATTGAAGAGTTTTCTTAAAACAGAATCATACAATTTTCTTAACATTAAATCTCAAAACTAATTAATTTATTGATGTTTTCCAAATCCTTGATCTTGAATATTTCTTTTTGTCCAATATCTCGAAATAAATTATGAGGTGGATTCATCCTTATACTCGTATATATACAGCTTTCTTCAGTATTTTCTGAAGAATTTGCTTGAATCATCTCAGAATACCCTCAGAGTTAATATTAGACCTCCTAATGGTATTTTCTTATAATTTGCTCCATGAAACTCTTGAAAATCATCTGAATTCAATCTGTAATGCTCTTCAAATTATTAATAATTTATGCAACATTACCTAGAATTCACTTCGAGTTTTCCTTAGCATTCACTTTGTATTCTCCAGAAATTCATGTAGATTTTTTCTAGGAATTGCTTTTTAGTTTTGCTCATACAAGACTACACTAAATGCTTATGACTTCCATAAATTCTTTGAAATGCTCCCTTGGAACTCTCATTTGAATTCTCTAAAAAATATCATCGGAACATGAAGGCGATGCCCTTGAAACGGTGCATGATATTTCGTTGGAATCATCTTTCAAAATTAATTTCATTGGGATTTTCCTTGAATTGGCATCTCAACAAACAATTTGAGCTAAATAAGCCATTTTTTAGATGAAGAAGCATATTTTTGCCTGAATAAGCTCTTAATCAGCATGTAATGCTTGGTGGGATGCTCCTTAGTAAGAATTTTTTTGGAATTATTCTCAGAATTTTCATTGCAGAACGCAATTGGCATTTTACTCCTTCCCTTGAAATTCTACTCACTTTGAAAGCTTCCGAAGAATTCGCTTGCAGTGAAGTAACAAATTTCATAGATTTCTAATTAAAAACTATTTAACAGTCAAGTGAGAAGCCTCCTGGAATTATTTTTCAAGTTGTTTTGAAGTTTAACTGGAATTATTACCAGATTTAATTGTAATCCTCCGTTTAGCATACTCCCGAAGTAAAATCCAACAATTCTCATGAAATTATTGTCCCGATTATTTTTCTCACTGAATCTTCTTGAAATCATCCTAAGAATTCCTTTGGAATTTTTCTTCGAATTTTCATGGCATTCAGAATTCTTCAATAAACTGTCTTTCTAATCCTATTTAGAGTTTACTTGGAATTCTACTTAAAACTACCTTGATATTCCGGTTTCACATAGAATCTGGAGCTCCTAATGGCTACATTGAAAGTAGATTGCACTCAATGGATTCTTCACTGTTCTTCCCAGAACTGCCTTGGAATGGGTCCCCTCCAAATTATAATCCAATTTCATGAGCCATGAAATTATGCAAGGAACTTATCTTTATGTTTTTCAAATCTTGGAAAATACCTAGGAATGAGGTTTTTGAAAATTTCTCCAAGTATCATTTTGTTTAGGCGCTGAATTTAAAAAAAAAATAAACTTAAAAATTTGTTAAAAATATCCATATTTCAGATCCTGAAAAAAAGATCAAGCCTCTGAATTTTTATTATTTATTTTGTTACTTAAGATTAAATCTGGTCAGGATCTATTAATTTTTTTTCCTTCATTGGTTTCCGTCGATCTTGTTTTCCGTACTGACTAGCAATGCTACCAATGCCAGGGAGGCAGCTCCAACACCTGTACTCTACCTATCGACCCATCAACTCATAGACTGGGGACCAACGGCTGTACTTTCCTTCTGAAGGAAGGCGTGATCAGAGATGAGTTTGGAAATTCCGTGAGCAATTATGAAAATCCTTGTGAATTGAAGATTTTCCAGGACCAATAACCATTCGGCCTAGTGACCTTCTGCCTAGTAAGCATCCGTCCTGAGCATTCAATATATCTATTTGATATATCTCATGATAGGTCCTGGCATAAATTAAAGTTACGGACCATTTCCCCGGAACACCAGAAACCTGTTCTGATGTTGTCGATTGGTCCTAGGCAGGCATGGAAAATAATTTACATTCATTTCGTGCATTCATTGACATTAATTTGCCTCTATCTTTTTTCATCAATTCCGTAAAATGATGTGTGAAGGTTTTGTAGGTTTTGATATTACCTACAACTATTGTGAATATCTCAAATCTATATCTCTTATAGCGGCGCCGGTGGTGTAGTGGTAAGCGTGATTGCCTCTCACCCCAGCAGGCCTGGGTTCAATCCCAGTCGGTGCCGCTGGGATGTTCTGAGGCATAACATCTCTGATCACGCCTTCCTTCGGGAGCCATTGGTCCCCGGTTCATGAGTTGATGGATCGATGGGAAGGGTCCAGGTGTGGGAGCTGCCTTGTGTCTGTAGCATTGATGCTCAGCACGGAAAACAAGATCGACGGAAAACAAATCAATGGAAAAAAATATCTCTTATGTATGATGAACCAAATGGAACATAATCCACCATTGTTTTTCAGGGAATGTAAATTACGATCACTGAAGAACAAAAACAATTTCTGCCTTAATGCATGTGAGATATAGATTTGAGTTAGTGACAAAAGTTGTAGCTAATATCAAAACCAACAAACACTTCATACTTTATTTTACGGAATTCTGTTGATGAAACAAGTTAGAGGTAAATTAATGTAAATGGTTTTCCATACCTCAATATGATCACCCTTTATCATGTCTTTAAAGTTCCTTTGCCTTTAACATCAACATCAAGGAATTCAGTAGCTCAACGAGTTATAGAATAAAATAAGAAATATCGACTTATGGACGATACATGGGATAATGAAAGGACCGCAGAATCCATCTAGTTATAGAATATATCGAGTTGTGGAGAGTTGACTGTAATTACCGAGAATTCTTCTGTTGAGCTTTCGGAAAAATATTCTTAGTGTTTAAGTACTGTTTATACAAATTTCGCAGATGATCCAATTTATAATAAGAATATTAAAATTGTTGATATTTTGATTCACATTAATGTAAGCATTTAGGCATATTCTCTTTGAAGTGATGATATGAATTATTCTTTTTTATCGATTTATTGTAGCTACAAAAAAAAATCTATATTAAGAATCGTGAATTGTGTTTTACGAAGCTAATGTTCGACAACTCCTCAATGTTAAGCAACTAATGACGCATTATTTAGCAGCAGTGTTCTTACGCACCTCTCCACAAGTTTTGCAACATATGTTCACGAATAGTCTTATTTGCGTCACTTGGCAAACGATTTTAACAAACGCTCGACTTCCATCAGTAACACGTCACTGCAAGGCAAAGTACGCTTACCAAACGAGCTTATAATGGTCGGCAATTCTTTAAATACATTATTATTTCATATCGATGCATTGTTTTTGCTCCTTGAAGACAACTGCTTTCGTTCTTATTTGTATGGGCACGAGTCCCGACTGCGGTAGAAGGTGTCAGCGGTACCTGATAATAGTGATTGCGTGTCTGACAAACCTACTACTGCCACACCGGCGGCGGTTGCAGGAGAATATACGGTGGCGTGCCTTCAGCCACGAAGCGACCGCAGAGAATACCGTCGCTTATAGTTCTGTGCACCGATATGCAATATCTTGAGGGTTGCTCGTGCGTCGCAGTCGTCGTCGTATGGCTGGCATATGCGGTCAATCACAAGTTATATATAATTACCTTCAATGTGAATATATTTGGGTACGTCTTGGCTCGTGCCAACATGAATAGCTGAACTACTGTTTGACCGAGTTTCATCTTCGACCATATGGTTACAAATGGGGAAATGCAACGGATAAGAAATTTACTTACCTCGCCCGCTTCGGCCCACGAATCTGAGATCGTTGAATTTTGCCACTTGGTTTCTCATCACAGATGTGCAGTTTCTTAGCTCGCCGCAGAAGTTTTCATCGTTACCGGCCCGGATCGTCACCATCGTCCCGTCACAAACGTCACCCAGGGAGACTACCTTGAAGGCGCTCGGTAGCGTCTTATTGGATCGCCAGTGGTTTGGCAGAGCGGAGCACAGAAAATATGGACTACCGGTTCGCACTGAAAACAGACAAGAGAGCAAACATCAGCAGGCAAGCGGTGACAACCGTTAATAGAAAATGTAGTTATTCGTCAGCAATTAAGCACTATGTAATCCGATATCAACGTTCGGAGTAATTAGTTTCATCTCATTACATTTCTCGCATCGGAACGGGCTCGTGGATGATTTCAATCCATCTCCAGCAGAATGCAACAATTTCCCAGTGACTGAGTTTCATTCAAGTTTCTACGAAGCCGGCAGTTTACCCATGCAAGAAAATGAGTGCGCATGGCGTGCCAGAGCGGGGAAAGTGAACACTACCGTTGAGGGCGAGTAAGAGAAGGAACGATAAATTGTATAAGGTTTCCCGCTTGCTGCCACCCAGCGTCTTGAGATTTCCCAATGTAGAGGAATTCCTGTTCTGTTGAGATTTTCTATGATCGCACAGTCGCTCGGTAACAAAAGTTATCAATCGAAGCTAGAGTTCATTCACGAAGCGGCTGACTGATCGGTAAGGTAATTTGAGTATTTTCAAGTTTCACGCTTCAAGGTATGTATGTCAATAATGTAGATGGAAGCATTATAGGTTGGACCAGTTAATGGGATGCTATGCTGGCTGCAACTTTTATTTTATCGATACATTCTAGGGTCATAATACCAACCAGGGCAGAGATCGATCATCAGATTTTCCGGGTATCTATCGTTATTACGCTATGTTACTCTTCTCGTGAACCTTACAGCATGAAAATCTCGATTCAAGTGTTGCAATCGACTCAGCTCAGTGGTCCAAATTTTTCAACTGAGTTTGCACGACTAATACATGTCTTGTATTAGGTTTATGAGCTAAACCGCCGCGATTATTATTTTTTAATAAGTAAAATTAAAAGTAATCCAACACAGAAAACAAGCATGGATCAAAAACTACACAAATAGAAATTATAAAGCAATTGCGGCCGTACAGTTTGTAATAGTTTTTTTGAAGCGTGGTTGAATCATTCGAGCTAACTGGGGTCCAACTATGTTGCCAGTATTCATTCCCATTTGGTTTTTCATCAGTTTTGAGTTAACCTCAGGAATGGTGTTTATTTTTATCGTACTTTAAAAAAATCCCACTGATAGTTTTGAATAAAGCAAATGTGAAAAAAAATATTAAGTCATGTGCGTCCCATATTGAAAGTACCCGCATTGTCATTAAGACCACCCTTCAGCTTAATGAACCATTCAGTCAAGCTATTTTTTTCAATTTCTGATGCTATCGGCTTCTGATGACATCGACGATGGAGCTCGGCATTCGAGTTCCAGTGGTGAGGCCAACAGGCACAAATTATATACCGCAGGCATCGGTTGATGAAGACCTGCAGCTTCGGAGTGTTCTCCGCTGATACACACCACGTCTCGCTGGCGCATAACAACACAGATTTCACGTTCGAGTTGGAAATTCGGCTTTTGATGCTTTGACCTATCTGGTTTGATCTCCATACGTTTCGTAAACTCGCAAAGGCAGCTCTAGCCTTCTTAATTCGTGCACCTATGTCACTCTTGGTCCCGCCGTCCGACACTATTTGGCTGCCAAGATATTGGAAACTTTCGACCTTCTCCACTGCTTGCCCCGCTATCGTAAAGTTGGAAGCTTTTTCGTAGTCAATGAATACCAAATAAAGGGACTCTTTAAATTCATTGACCTCATCCAGGATGATGCGGAGCCTGACAATATGGTTCACACAAAAACTTCTGGCACGGAATCCTGCCTGCTGCCGCCGGAGAGTCGCGTCGATCTTCTCATGTATCCTATTCAGGATAACTTTGTACAGAACTTTGATAACAATACACAGTAACATGACGCCTCGCCAATTGTCTAAGACGCCCTGCATCCAGTCGGCCGGAAAAGTCGCGGTGTCCCAGATATTAAAGAATAGTTGATGCTACATTTAAGCGGATAGCATGGGGTCAGCTTTAAGCATCTCTGCTGATATGCGATCGACCCCTGGAGCCTTGTTGTATTTCATGCTTCGGATAGCTGCTTCAATCTCCTACTGTGATGGGGCCTCGGAATTGACGCGAGTGATGCGCCGCACCCTAGGCGAATCATGCCGAGATATTGCTGGTTGGCCGTCGAAACTTGAAGAAGTTGATCAAAGTGCTCAAACCAGCGTTTCAGATGGTCAGTTGGGTCGGTAAACAACTGACCAGTCGTGTCCGTCACTGGTATCCTCGGGTTAATTCTTGCTCCACTCAGGCGTCGTGAGATTTCGTGGAAGAGGCGTATATCGCCAGTGTTTGTGGCTTTCTCCCCTTCGTCGGCCAGGGAGTTCACCCACGCACGCTTGTCCCGTCTACAAGAGCGCTTGACTTCCTTTTCTAAAACCGAGTACCGTTGACGGGTTTCGTTCTTGGCTCCTCTGGTTCTCGCCCGCTCTATCGCGGCTTTTGCTTCTCTACGCTCCTCAATCGTTAAATCGCTAAAAGTCGTTGCCGTTCAATCAGTTCGATGTCTTTCTCTGTTGGTTTCTTTGAACAATTATAAAGGTTTCAGAGACAGTAGGTGGTTAGCGTATGGTCTCCTATCTACCTCCTATGTATGTGACGAGTTTGTTATCCTCGGAGACTTCAATATTCCCGGAATTATTTTGCAATCTTCAAATAATGGCTTTTTGTTAGCAGACACGGAAAGGCCTTCGTTCCCATAGTGCACCAATGCCTTTCTAGATAGCTACAGCATAGCAAACCAAATTAACCAACGTTTCAACAAATATGGACGAACGTTGGACTTTTGTTTTGAAAGCCTTCAAGACGTTGCTCCAGACATCTCAGAGACATCTCATCGTATGTCATAAACCACGTTCCTAAAAAGACTGCTAAATCTTTCAAGTACCCGCTAAGGCAATCACGCGAATCGCGCCATCTAAAACAAAGAAAAGAGTTGCTTTTCGAAAATTTTCGAAGCACAAAACACTTCTGTTGAAACAGCACTATTTGTGTATCAACCATCGTTACCAAACATTGAGTAAAGCTTACTTTTCTGCTTACCAGCGAAAAATTCCATGAAATCTATTCCGAAGTCCTTTTTGAACTATGTTTGAAGTCAGAAAACAGATAATGGATTGCCTTCTAACGATGAAGTTGAATGACGCTGAAACTTCGAATGAACTTGTAATCTGCCAACTGTTCTCTAAAAATTTTGCAGGTGTTTTTTTTTTCAAGCGAGTCGCTGCAGCCACAACAGATTACCGAAGCTGCTTCAAACGTTCCAGCAAGAGATGTAGTCATGTTTTCCTTAGATGTTGATGGCTCTATGATTCTCGAAGCTGCTTCATTCACTTGGACCCGATGGAGTTTCTGCCACTCTGGTGAAGAAGTGCGTCGATAATTTAATCACACCTCTACGTCACATCGCACCGGCACCTTTCCATCGTTATGTTCCCTGTCCACAAAAAGGGTGACCAAACTAACGTTTACAATTACCGGGGTATTTTTGCGCTGTGTGCAGTATCGACATTATTCGAACTAGTGGTGCTTACTAAGGCGTTAGCGTTAGCGTTGTTAGCGTTGATACTAGCGACACTCACATCTCTTCTAAAATTATCAGTTAGACTACTTTCAGGAATAATACTGGGGAGTAAACATTGGTTCCAATCTAAACAAGAGTAACAGAAGCATGACTGTCGCTATTCCCGGCCACGCCCATCTTTACCATAACTAGGGATAGAGAAGGAATTGTTGATGTAGTACTTACTTAACGAGAGGCCACCAACTTAGCGACACCCTCATAAGTGCTACGGAGTTGGAGGGTTGGGTAGGGTATTCGGTTAGGATTCACCTCAAGTTGGCGATGCAACCAAAAGTATGTATTGTTTATTTGTTGTTCATTTATCTCTCGATAGCCGACTATCGAGAGAAAATATTCATTTTGTTTAGATCATGGATTTTAAGAGTCACGATGGAGAGCTTGGGATTAAACCCATGATTTTCTGCTCAATAAGCAAAAACGATCCCTCCAGGGTCATCGAGCATCTCAGAACCATAATGCTTCGCGACAATACAGGACTACGTTTTCGCTTGATATGCAAATAGTTGCCGAGGTTAATAATCAAATATACAAATAATGGTGGCGATTTATTGTGCTGTGGAAGAGCTTGGGGTTGAATCCATGATTTTCTGCTCAGTAAGCAAAATCGATACCTCCAGGGTCGTCGAGCATCTCATAATTCACAGCGCTTCGCGTCAAAGTACGAATATATGGATGAACTATCTATTGTTGAATAACTATTATTTACTATGATTACATGAAAGAAATAAAATATAAACTACAAATAGAACGTGACTAATAGAATCTCAAAAAGATATTCTCACAAATATATTTCACGCAACCAGGAATCTCAAAACCATCAGACGCTAAAATGATACTCTGCACATGTTAGGCACAAGAAGAGGCCAAAAAGCAAGCGTCTGACACACAAAGCGAAATTGACAGGCTCTATGCGTCAAACACCCGCCCTCCAATCTCCTCCCGCATTCAACAACACAAATCCCTATTACAACATCTAACGAATTCAAAACTCCGAAAATCACTCAATTATAGCAAGTGAGTGGAAGCAACCCTGCATGCAACCATTCTTCATGATACACTTTTTCTTTTAGGCCTGTGGACATGCGTTAGCTTCGAAACTTCTAACCAAACTGGGAAATCTATCAGATCACAAAAAAAAAACTTGAAAAAAGCTTTTAAAGGTAATTACAAGTTAAATAAATATTGATTATTTTACGCAAAAACGAGCAAGTAATATTAAATCTCTTGTATCGTATGCTAATGCTTGTTGACTGTAACAAAAATAATATGCTTAAATAAAATAAAATATTAATAAAATTATATACAATATTTACTAGAAGCTCATTACTTTATTGGTAAGAAGTTTCTAATAAGCCCTCCCAGTTCCTCTGTATACAGAACAAATCTGATACTATAATCAGAATTGCTCAGTCTGCATGAAGCAGCCGATTTCATCAAGGAAGTTCTATTAAC